AGATAAAAGAGAAAAATCAGGAAATGGTTCTGTAGAGGAGGACGTCGACGAGAATTCAAGCGAGGAGGAGGACGGCGGTGAAGAAATTTGATTGATTTGAGCAAATGTAGGGGATATGTAGTTGGTTTTATTATTATGATGGTTGTGGCTTTTTGTTGAGCAGTTGACGGGCATGGGGGGAATGACTTTGTTTGGGTTCCAGAGGATGGGGGAAGGCAAGGGAGGTTGTTTGTGGGAGGTTGGAGGATATTGAAGGGCAACCCTCCAGCCCCCCTATTCTGCAACCTCTTGCCATCCTCAACCCTGCAACCTCGTGGAACCTGCCACAACAAGCTCTGTAGGGCTTGCATTGGCTTCCTCGGTCCTGTCGAGGCCAAAAACACTCACTCCCCGATGCCCTCGAAGGCCATATCCCCCAAATTGTCCGCTTATTGGTTGTTTTCGTCTCTTTTTTTTGCTGATATTTAGTTTATATCGTTAGTGCAGATTTTGCGAAGCGTAAATTATAAAGACTATAGGTTGGAGATTGTAAGTGATAAGATACCGTACTTCCCCATAAGGGTGACAATTAGGTCGAGTTGGCAAATTTTTATGAGAATAATGGAGATTTTAAAGGAACATAAGAAGGGTATGGACCAATTTAAGGAGAGTTGCTTTAGTCAATTTGTGAACATCGGAGAAAATTGGAAAACGACTTTCTGGGGGCAGGGAGTGCATCATATGTTGCTGCACTCAGTAAAAAGCCAAAAAAAAAAAAAAAAAAAAATGTGGTTCGCAGTGGATGGGAAGCCACTATGGTTTGGGATGATGGAATATGCCCTTGTGACAGGTTTAAGATGTGGGACATTTCCAAATGCGGAAGAGCAAGAGAGAATAAAAAAGAGTAGGGCAACTAATAACTTGGCTAAAAAGGTTTTGGGGGGAAGGCGTTTATTATGGGACACGATTTAAAGGAGAGGCTATGAGAAGCTGGGTTTACCTTTTCAGAGAGGTTCAAGATGTGTCTGGTATGGTTCGTTCATTCGATCCTAATGGCTTCAGACTCAACAAAAGTCATTAATATGGATTGGGTGAAGTTTGCAAGCAACGTAGACTTCTTTAATGTTTATCCATGGGGACGGGTACCATTTCAACTAACCATGGACTCCTTGCAAGGAAAAGACATGGCATTAAAGCATCGCCAATCTGTTGAGAAGAATAAACCGAACACGTACAATTTATTGGGCTTCCCATGGGCCATGCAAGTAAATCTTAATAGCTTTTTGTTTTTTATATATAATATGTATTTTAATTATGATATGGATTATTTTTTTACAATGTAGGCTTAGATGTATGAGGGCGTCCCTGTCCTGGCTAAGACGGGGGGGAGGATGAAGACTTCCGATGAGCGACTGCAACCTAAACAACTAAATCAAAATCATTACCCAAACCCAATCCATCATTAAATCTTTGTAAGTCAAAATATAAAATGGAAAGGGGAGATACACATACCTGGACGAAATGTCAAGAGGAGGAGGAGAATGAGGATCTGTGGTGTAGAAGATGTTAATGGCGGGAAGAAGAAGATGTAGACGAAGAAGAATAGGATGTAGACGAAGCTTAAAAGAAACAACAACCAGGGGAGGGATGCGTTAATGGCGGGAGGAAGAAGAAGAAGGTGTTTGGGTTTGTTTGCAAGAATTTCGGCTCTTTGGGGACATATTGTAATTTTTTAAAGATTACACAATACTTCATTAATCATAATTAATCATTAATCATGTTTAATTAACCTTAATCATGTTTAATTAATCTTAATCAATAATAAGGCTATTTACGTAACACTTTCAAACTACATGGCCTTTTAATTAAATTTGAACTTGATTTGGCCTTTTAATAAAATGCCCCTGTACATTAAATTTAACTGGCCAGATCTCCCAAGTTTACATTTAAAAAAATGACCCTGAAAATATTTTTGAATTTTTTTTAATTTAGAAAAGCTGGCGTGGCACACTTAGGATTTATTAAACATGTAAAACGGGTTAAACTGAAAAGATTTAAAGCTATGTGGGTAAAGTATAATTAACGGAAGTTTGTTTAAATTTTGAAATTTGAAAACGAGCCCCCACCCTTCAAAATCGCTTAATCGAGCCATATACCCAAAAAATGACCGACAAACACATTTCGTTTCTCTATGATTTTCGGCAACGACGGTGCCTTAATTCCGGCAAATATTTGATCCTTAAGCTTGCTTACACAAAATCATGGTTGACATTCACAAAGAGGAGGAAAACCCAACCCCACTCCGAATCCTAGACTCCAGTGGCACTAGTAGTTCAAAGGCTATCGAAGAAGACGCTACGATGGATCATCCGATGAGTCAAGGTGGTCCAGAGGTAGAGGAGACAACAGCGACACAAGAAAAGAGAGAAGAATCGGGAAATGGTTTTGAAAATGAGGACGCCAACTAGAATTCAGGCGAGGAGGAGGACAATGGTGAAGAAAGGGTACGTTTTTTACTTTTTGTTTTGAATTTGATGAGAAATTTGATTGATTTGAGCGAATTTGGGGGATATGTAGTTGGTTTTATTGTTATAATGGTTGTGGCTTTTTGTCGAGCAGTTGACGGGCATGGGAGGAGTGGCTTTGTTTGGGTTCCAGAGGATGGGGGAAGGCAAGGGAGGTTGGAGGGCTGGGGATGGCATGAGGTGGTGGAATAAAGAGTTTGGGGATGGCAGGAGGTGGCAGAATAGGGGGGCTGGAGGGCTGCCCTGCATATTCTGCCATCCTCAACCCTCCAACCTCATGGAACCTGCCACAACAAGCTCTGTAGGGCTTGCATTGGCTTCCCCGATCCTGTCAAGGTCAAAAAAACCCACTCCCCGATGCCATTAAAGGCCATATCCCCCAAATTGTTAGCCTATCGATTGTTTTGGTCTCTTTTTTTCGCTGATATTCAGTTTATTATTGTTTGTGCTGATTTTGCGAAGTGTAAATTACAAAGACTATGAGTTGGAGATTGTAAGCGATAAGGTACTGTACTTCCCCGTAAATGTGACAATTAGGTCGAGTTTGGAAGTTTTTACGAGAATAATGGAGATTTTAAAGGAACAGAAGAAGGGTATGGACCAATTTAAATAGAGTTGCTTCGGTCATTTTGTGAACATCGAAGAAAACTGGAAAATGACTTTCTGGGGGCAAGGAGTGCATTATATGTTGCTGCACTCAGTAAAAAGCTAAAAAAAAAAAAAAATGAAATGTGATTCGTAGTGGATGGGAAGCCACTACGATTTGGGATGATGGAATATGCCCTTGTGACAGATTTAAGATGCGGAGCATTTCCAAATGCGGAAGGGTAGGAGAGAATAAAAAAGAGTAGGGCAGCCGATAACTTGGCTAAAAAGGTTTTGGGGGGAAGGCGTCTATTATGGGACGCGATTTAGAGGAAAGACTAGGAGAAGCTAAGTTTAAAGCATGGCGTTAAAGCATCGCCAATCTGTTGAGAAGAATAGACCGAGCACATACAATTTATTTGGCTTCCCATGGGCCATGCAGGTAAATATTAAGAGTTTTTTGTTTTTTGTTTTTTTGTTTTTGTATTATATGTGTTTTAATTATGATATTGACTGTTTTTTTACAAGGTAGGCTTGGATGTATGAGGTTGTCCTTGTCCTGGCTAAGGCGGGGGGGAGGATGAAGACTTCCGATGAGCGACCGCAACCTAAACAACTAAATCAAAATCATAACCCTAACCCAATCCATCATTAAATATTTGTAAGTCGAAATATAAAATGGAAAGGGGAGATACACATACCTGGAAGAAATGTCAGGAGGAGGAGAAGGAAGAGGATCTGTGGCGTAGAAGATGTTAATGGCGGAGGAAAAAGATAGTTTTAATGGCAGGAAGAAGAAGATGTACAGGAAGAAGAAGATGTAGACGAAGAAGAAGATGCAGAAGAAGATGTAGACGAAGCTTAGAAGAAACAACAACCAGGGGAGGGATGCTTTAATGGCGGGAGGAAGAAGAAGAAGGTGTTTGGGTTTGTTTGCAAGAATTTTGGCTCTTTGGGGACATATTATAATTTTTAAAAGATTATATAATACTTCATTAGTCATAATTAATTACTAATCATGTTTAATTAACCTTAATCAATAATGAGACTATTTACTTAACACTTTCAAACTATATAGCCTTTTAATTAAATTTGAACTTGATTTATGTCTTAGAAACTGAGACATTGTTGCAACTTATCAACAATAAGTTGTAATCAATTTCAGATTTCTCTGAAAGATTTTGTGTGATCTAGGACCCAAGGAAGTTCAGTAGTTCTTGAGTTCTGACCGAGTTGAGAGTTTTGAGTCTTTGAGATTGGATCTTTGATGATGGGTTCTCAATTTCGGTTATAGGGTCGGGTCTTCTATGTTTTGTCCAACTTAATGCATGGATCCAAAGTCGGATACACACTACTTTTGCCTTTACGTAGACCAGCTGGCTCCAGCTAGGTAAATTGAGTGATTGCCCATGTCACATTTATAATTATATATTTTGCCCAGTATCTTAAAATAAAACAATTGCTTCTATCTAGCCCTAAATTCTTTTTATTTTTTTTAATCGGAATATCTAAATCAGTCTAGAAACCCAATATTTCTTATAACTCACAAATATGGTAAATAATCCCATAGTTATTTAAACTCATAAAATCAATAATAAGAAAACAAACATTCTTGATCACTAAGCCAACCCGACTTGCATTATACTTTTTATGGGTAGCAAAAACTGCAAATCATTTCACTTCTGGCCTAGTTAAGTAGTTATTCAATAATAAGGTCCACAATCAAGAATCATTTTCACTGGCCAAACGCGATACCAGGAATCAGGATGCAAATACAGCATTGGTAAGCGACTTTTGATTGTAATATTTGTTGGCTTATATCATTACTGGGGCTTATTCATATTTCCTTTCATGTTCTAAACAGAAACGAAAACTACGCAATTGTAAGAAGAAAATATGCTTTTACTCATCCAGTATTATCATTAAGCATAATCAACATAACCTATTTCATTCTCAAATGTACATGTCATGACAATGATAAAAGTTAAGTAAACTGCACAACTAAATTTCAACAAATCATTTACCAGGGTCACAATTATGCGAGCAGTCATCTTAATCATCTTTCATTATGAGAGTTTATACACAATTTGCTCAATTATTAAGCCACCAAGAGAGAAATGTTGGAGTAGAAGAAACTATGATTACAAGCAATTCATTATCAACAAGCATAGGAGATGATTAATGGCAGCTCCACTAAGTGTCATCTTGGTCTTGCCCTCAATTAAGGATTCATGAGACATAACCGGCCTTCAGCTTTGCTGTTTTCTGTTTAACAAAGAAAGCTGATAGCATACTTTTGCTGCGAGCAGGAGCACGTACAATGTCACGCCTTGAGTTGTCAAACGACCTAAACGCTGTTAAAGCTTTGGTACCCTCTGATGTATCCTGTAAGAGAGAACATTTATGTTATGCTTCTATTTTTCCTCAAGCATCATTATGACACAAGTCAAGCATTGAAAGACAACCATAGTTCAGACTAGAACAAGCAACAAATACTCAAAATCATCATGCACATACAACTGTTACCAGAGAGAGGCCCAGCAATAATAACAGTCAATTATGACCCTAACATTAACCAACAAAACACATGATCCGAAAAATATGCACAAAAACTCAACAAAAATCTTGTTTTAGAAAACATGAAAACATTATTTTGATAATACTCTTATTCTTTCACATGATATACAACCCATAAGAAACACGACAATTGACAATTAGTCTCTCACGCGCATGCAAGTGTGCACAAATTCACACAAAATTTTAAATAGTTAGATGTGCACAGTGTGATCCTATTAACTCATAAAGAACTCAATTAACCCACTGCATTCTACATATCCATAAAAAATGCTTCACACTTACTGAGTACAGTTATCATAGTCATTGGATATACCAATGATGGTAATTTCAAGCATCCATCAGATATCAATATAGATGTAGTCTATAAGCAAACCACCAAATAATTTCAGCCACTAAAGGGGGCACAGGATCATTGAAGAACAGTAAAAGATAATCACAACTTTAGTTATTTTCACACTTATCTAAAATGAGTAGCAACATAGTGCTTATGCAGATCCGCTGCGATTAAAAATTTCCCCAGCGCTACCATCCCCAGTGTTCAGAAGATTGTTCTGCCTAGCGCTAGGGAGAACCAATCCACAACCTATATTTACCAACCCAGACCCTTCAGAAACTGCAGAAATGAACTGCAGTTTGCAATAACACTCTTAATTTGGCCATTCAAATATCTCCTGCCTAGAATGATTGAGATTATGAATTGTTGTGGTTTAATACCAATAATGGTAGTCATTTTGATAACCAACTACTTGACACGATAATCTATTAGCTCATTACTTGGGCATTGTGATACAATCATATCTTCATGCCTATATTAAGGATCTTAAGTCCCATTCCTATTATCCACTTCACTTGGAATCACTGTTTATAAGTCCCATGTGTAAACAAAATTCCCAGGAGATATATTTGAGGGGGGAAAACAAGAGTGAGGAGAAAACAAAGAGTAAGGTATTATGAATGAACATGTCTGTCACACCAGCAAAAAGCTTATACATATTGAAATTTTAGACAATTCACACAAACATCATGTTGAATATGGAAAGAAGCATAAACAGACAAGCCTCTCAATTAGAAGAATGTTGGGCATGTCTGTTTTCTTGTTGATTTTGACATTACCCTTCGTGCAACACCGACAGCTGCACTAGATGCAGGACCTCCACCTGATACTTGAGCAGAGATAGCAGAGGACTTTGTCCGTATATTCTGTTCATCACCTGCACCAATAAGAGTTTGCAATATCAGATCTTATCTCTAAAATGAATTATAAACCAACAGCTAAATTGCGAGCATTAAATTAATAAAATGAGATAGCATTCTTGTTATACATACCCAAAAGATGGAAAACTCCAGAATCTTTCGGGTCTTTAGGGCTACAAAATAAGCAAACATCAAAAAATTTAATGCCTCATAAAAGTATCACCAGCATGGTTTATGTAAATTGAGAAGTAATTATTGTTCTGACCGGGAATAACTTTATACTAACCTTGCCGTAGCATTTTGAGTCCTCTTCAAGCTAGATTTAGTTTCAGAGGCTAAATGCCAGGAAAGAGTTTTTGAAGCAGCGATACCTAGATGTAATGCAATTAGAAAGTGATACAACACTCAAAAACTGAACAAGAAAAAACGTCAAACCGCTACAAAAAGTTGAATCCTCTCAGAACACCCTTATACCTGAAGGCTGAAGACGTGTTTGAAAATGACTTTGTCTAGCATCAGTCTGTATACGTGGACTAAAATGTACCTTCTTGTTTACAGAATCTAGTTTGAATTGTCAAAGCAAATGAGGAGAGAAACAAGAAAGTTATGAGAAAAATAAATGTCCACAATCACATCAATTAGCATTTCTAAATGATACTGATAATAGCTAATCTTACTTGGCAAAATGTAGTGCTCATGGTGTCTTGGGATGAAGGCTAATAACTGCTGCTGCCGAAGACCTTCCTTGTTTGTGTAGGTTTGACATGTAAGAAGTTGCTATTATGAACAGAATACATAGGTTTGGTTCAGGTCAATCCATTTCAAACCTGTTATGAAAAAACATAAATCACTCGGACAAGGGAAAAAAATATTTACCTGGTTCAAACAAGAAAATTTTAGCTCCATGGTAGAGATATCAGACGATTGCTGCTCAAGAAGGTCAGTCAACTTGAAAGCCACAGTGCCAAGGTGATCAACAGCATTCACAAGGGCTCGTACAGCATAATCTTTCAGGTTATCCAGTACCCTAATACATGATGTCACAATAACTTCGACTTAGAGAGGAGAAAGGATGCATCAGATACAAACACAATGAGCTACAAGCATGCAAATTATTGCAATGTTATTTAGCAGACAATTCCACGCAAACCAAAGACAATGGTACAAGCCTTGTGCATACTCCTTAAAGTAGGATCCCAGTAAACCAATTATACACACTGTGTCTTCACCAAACCAATCCTTTTCTAATCACATTCATTTTTATTTGCAACATATGTAACATCCATCATTCAGGCAAGTACCAACAAGGAATCTTGGAAAGGGGTTATCGGTTGGATCTTGTGTTTATGGTAGTGAAGCCAAATCAGGTACCCTACTTTAACAGCAATACATTGTGGCTATATATATGCCTTCACACCAAATTGATAATAATCAATTCATGCAGTGACCACATCAGGGAAAATTAAATGAAGACAAACAAGTAAACTTACATCTGTTTCTGCTCACTATGGAAATAAGACTTTTCACAATATTCTGCAGCTGAATAAAGTTGAGGTCTTAAGTTCTTGAGCTCCTGTAAGGACAACAATATAAGAACCAAACTTATATCAAAGCCAAATCAGCCGTCATGTCTTATATTCAAATCAGTCAAGCAATAATTATTGAAAAGCAAATGACAAGAAAATTACTTAGCAAGCAAAAGCACATAAATCCAGTGAGAAAAGAGAACAAATAATGCCATCAAACGGTCGCAAGTAGGAGTAGGAGATGAAACTTATTCAGCTTAATATTTTACTGTCTTATTTAAATAATAAAAATAAAATCCTTCATTACTCATCCTAAGAGAGATATATAGCAAAAGGTCACTCTTAAAATAGACCCAGATGTCAGGTACATGTCATTTTCTATGAGGCACGATTGCGCGAAGCTATGTATGCTTGCAAGGTAATTATTTCCTTCACCGAGTTTAAGTCATTATGAATCACAGCAAAAAATTCACCACTTTGAAGTAAAATCAATGGTCTTAATTGAAAAGGCTTACATTTCGGCTCCTAATTAAGTAGTTAAATTTTCAGTCCTAAGTTTCTCTTAATTAATACTAAAGAAATACCATGAGGAACAAAATTCCTCAGCAATAAAACAAAGTCAACTAACACAAGAAACGCATCTCCTCAGTAACCATACCAAACAGCAAAAACAAATCAATCAATCAAAAACCAAGCCAACATCAGATCTGCTTCCAAAATTTGTACTAATAAATACACAAAAACTTGAGAATTGAACCTGCAAAGCTTTGACGAAGCTTTTACTACGCTCCATGGACACCTCATCGAACGTCATGGCTCGACTCTCCAGTCTCGTTTGCTCCAGTACTTCCATATCTCAGCTGTTTGAACAAACCCTAGAGTTTAAAGCATAAAACTACAAAAATGCAAGAGATATCGAATATTACAATACTAATAGTTTGATTTGTGATTAGGTTTTGGTGTGATGGTTAAACAAATCAAATAAAAAAGAAAGAAAGAATGAGTGCAGTAGAAGCGATCCTGAAGTGGGAATTGATATTTATTTGGTTTGGAGTTGGAGTTAATAGAAAGGGAAAATGACTCTTTGATAGAAATGTATTTATTAGGGAGAGTGTTTATTGTGGTAGTTGACACACTTCTCAGAGACGGTGGTTTCTGAAATCTAATACTGTATAAAATAACTAACAACAATACTCGCTTTCGCTTCGGAATATTTATTCATAAAGACCAAATTGCCCTAATGTAGGGTCTAGTCAACCGGAGAGTCAACTGTCAGCTGTATCTAGGTGGTGTTTATCTGAGTTTATGAAAATTAGCTTATAAGCTAAAATTAACTTATAAGCATTTGAAATTTTAAGTAATTACATGTTTGGTTAAAGTACTTATAAGTGACTGATAAGTAATTGACGTGTTTGGTAAAATGTGGCTTATAAGTACATTTTATTATAAAATTACTAAAAAGGGTACTATATTAAACAAGGGCATACTATGAAATTTTAAAATTAAATAAGGATAATGTGGTAATATACTTGGTCAAACTAGCTTATAAGCAAAGTGCTTATAAGCCAAAAAAAAATAAGTACCTTCCCCCCAACTTATTTTTTTTTTTGGCTTATAAACTCAACTTATAAGCTCAAAAAAATTATAAACAAACAGGTCAGCTTAATTTTAGAGCTTATAAACAAGTTTGACCAGCTTATAAGCTTAGACAAACACCAACCTAATCTCATCCACCTCAGCCTTTGGTTCCACTCGATGAAATCACATAATTTTGTTTTGTTTTTTTTTTTTTTTTTTTTGAAAAATTAGAAAGTAAAAACATTTATATTTATAATTGAGTTTGCAAAGTGCGGGTGGCGCGTAGCCGATGGAACTAGACAACCGCAGAAGAAAATAATACATACTTGTGAAGGATGTTTTGAAGTTGCATGGCGTGGCACACAGCATAAATCATGGAATAATATTAGTCATAAATTCATTATAATGGAGTAACTAAGTCATGGGACCTTTTCCTTTGGAAAATTAGAAAGATCGGTGGCGTTGATGGACAAGATCACACCAAGACACATCAAAAAAATTTGTTTTCAGTTATCCTCCACTCTCTTTCCTTCATTTACAGTGTTGTCTTTGCAAAATTTTGGTCATGATGAGTTGCTCATTGGAGTGGAGTTGGAAGTGGCACCAAAATGAGATCAAAACACAATCATGTTAATGATTCTGGGTGGCCCATTGGAGCCCAAAATCTGCGGTCAATTAAAAACTATTTCTTACGGAAGCAGAGAACCACGTATTAGACAGCTCATGAACATCAAAAATATGCTTCTTACGGAAGGAAGCATAATTGTCCAAATAAATTACAAATATGAATATTTTACTCCCAACGTTGATCTACATCTGGACGGGATGTAAGAGTTTAACTCTAGTTTCCTTGATTTAGTGTTTATATATAAATGCATACATATAACTTTGTATTTATACATAAAAATTCATACATATATCTGACAAAATACATGGTACACAAGTAGTACAACTTACACTTAAACTCCCACTGTACAATATTTACACAACTCTTATACAAATACTGTCCGCATTTTAAAACTAATAACAGCAAGGAGGGTTAATACAGTGCATGTTTGCTAATGTTTATCATAGTACTCAATTCAACATGAGCCTGAGTCAACTGAGGTTACAGACAGTAATCTATACTGAGTTATCAGACAGCAGAAATGATGCCAACTTCAAGCTCAGGAAGACTCAACCATAGTATGACATATACCAAAACTGGAAAAAGAACTCTTAACTTCTATCACAAGATGAAATTTCAAAATAGGTAGGTTTTGGGGTAGAGGAGCAACCGATAGATTGGATTAATTCTTCCACAGCAAGTACACGGAACTTCGGTGGTGAATTGAGAGCGATGTTGTCAACACGATGCTCAAAGATCTTCCCATTCTTGTCAAGTTTGTACTCAGAAGTGCCATCAAATCGTCCACGACTCTCCCAAGGAACACGTGGGATGCCATGGACAGTCCAACGAACCATTATGATATTCTCCATGGGCTGCCAAACACTGACTACGTCAAGCCACAATGCCCTGAAAAATATCCTGCCTTGGAATCGCAATGCCCAGAAAATTGATTTATAGTTCTCAATGCCCATAAAAGTATTCACTGGATCTTTAAATACAATATCATCCCTAGATAGAAAACAACGTAACATTAGCACAATATTCAACAGGAGGGCATATGATTTGATAAGACGCAGTAAAAAGCATATTAACAACATCAGATGTTCAACGTTTCAAAATATCACTAGCTAATATATATATATATATATATATATATAAAAGCAGACCCGATAATTTAATAAATTGAAACTAGATGACCAGCAAAACTCTAGATGAGCATCATTCTCGCACACAAAGAGATAAGAAAAACGGCATATCATTTCATCTAGGTTATTCGGCATGCCAAGATGCACTACTTAGCTCATCCTTCAACCAAATGTATACAATTACAAGATTTATACACTTACAAAGAAACCATCAAACGTGGTCCACTATCACACACTGAGCAATTATCTAAACGACCACCTAAAGATCCTTAATTTGACCACCATAACCGATCTCCAAGTATCTAAAAATAGAATAAAAAAATGATGTGACACAATAGAAGACAACCTAACTTCGAAGACATAGATTAGCTATCTTGAATTCTTGTTCAGCCAAAGCCATGATTAAAATCTGATGGCATATAATTACATTTATCATCAGAATCATACATAGTTTTAAAAATCAATCACAAACATTTGAAACTGCGATCACAAGTACTCATTAATTATTCCACTTCAACTCCTGAATGTAATGTTAATCATCGTCATAACCATACAAACATTGTTGAAGGCAAAAGTTCATTGCTCATAATTTACAGAACGAATAATTTAGAGGAAAAATAATTCAATTAAACCTGTAAATATCGAAACTGAGCTCTCTATAGAAGAGCGCCGGAAACTCTTCTCTTAGAGTCCGAATCGCATAACCCATGTTCACATAGTAATTCTGCTTCTCTTCTTCTTCTTTGCTCGGCTTCACAGGAGCTGAATACTGTCCGTACAACCTAACATTTTTATCCAATCCCGAAACCCTAACCCTAGCCCGAGAACCAATTTTCTGATTATTGCTCAAACTAGCAAGATTCTTGTAATTTCTAGAATTAAGGTTAGGATTAAAGAAGATCTTGGGAGAGATTTCTGGGGAAGAGACGAGAAAGGCCATTGAAAAAGTAATTGGGTTGAAACTTGGGGTGCACGAAGGTGAAATTAGAGGGAATATAAAAAAAGGAAAAATTGAAATAAGTTTTTTTTTTTTAATTTAATTATTCTTTTAGGCTTTAGCAACTGAGAATGAGAGGAGATTAGGAGATAGGAAAAAATCTGTTTGGATAATTGGAATTATCGGGGTTGATTGAAATTAAAAAATATCTGATTGGTGGCTGGGGTATGCTAAAGTTCTTACACCGTAGCTTGGAATATTCCCATTTAAGGCTTCGTTTGTTTGCTTTGACCTTTTACTAAGTAGTCAGTAGCAGTAGCAAATCTTTTTTTATTTGTTTAAAGAGTAAACGAACTGTTCCCGCCCAAAGATCAATGAAATGGTATATGTTTCCACCTATGGTTTCAATTATTCCAAATCCCCCCACCCTTAAATTAACAAAAATAGTTTAATATAACGGTTAAGGGGTATTTAAGTTTTTTATCTTAAAATAATAAATCCTATCCATCTCAAAATTTTCTGCAAACCCAACCTTTCCTCTCCGCCTCTGCCTCTGCCTCCAACTCCACCACCAAGACCAATAACTTCAACCTACAACACGAATACACTTCAAAATCCCAACAAACTGCATTCAATCTTCAATCCACAACACAAATACACTTCAAAATCCCAACAAACTGCGTTCAATCAACTTCTTTAATCAAATCTCAACAGGAAAAACAAACCCTGTCGCGTGAAGGTGCCCGAGACGTGTTCGACGGCGGCTGGGGGGTGAGGTTGACCGGGGGTGCAGGAGGACGAGAGTGGGAGATACGGGTAGAGGAGGCACAACGGCCTTCTCCGTGTGCACAGGCGTCGCGCAAACTGTCATTCGCGAATGGGTTTTGCGGCGACTGGTGGATGGTGTTTGCGGCGGCAAAGGAAAGGTGGTGGGGCTGGTTTTGGGTGGGGTTGTTGCAAAGGAACTTCAAAAGTCGCCGGTTGCGACGGGAGTAGCGAAGGAAGTGCGACGGTGCGTCGATGAGGCGGGAGTGGCGAAGGAATTTCAAAACGGGTGTCTTCACTTTTGGTTGCTTTAATTTGATTTTTGGAGTTGTTTAGGAGTGATTTCGTTGGAGTTTTTGTTTGTAGTTTGTTTGGCTACTGATTGGAGTTGATTTGTTGAATTTTGGGAGATTAGATTGTTGAAAAAAGGGTCATTTTCCACTCACCCATTGACACCCACCATCTGTTTGTAAAAAAGCCCCACAACGGCGGCGGCAGTGGCAGTGAAGATGAGGAGGGGGAGATGAAGGAGAAGAAGGGAGGGTAGTTTGGTAATTATACCTCTATATATACAGAGTTTACAGACTCTGTTACTTTAAGGGTGGGGATCTGAAATAAATGAAACTAGAAGTGGAAACTTGTTTTTTCGCCCATCTTTGGGTGGGAACATATCGTTTGCTCTTATTTAAAAAAAATACAGCCTTTTATCTTAGGGAGAACGACTTACACGTACCCAAGGTTTATCGTAACGACAAATTGGTACCCAAAAAGTTTTGAAATGACAAATAGGTATTTTCCGTCATGTTCTGTTAGGGATTTCTGTTTATTACTGTTTATTAATAGTGAAAAGACTAAAATGCCCTTAAAAGTTTGAATTTTAGTTTTTTATAAATTTAAAAATTTCTAAAAAACCCCCTAAGTTTACAAATTTAACTAAATACCCCAATATATAAAAATTTTGTAAAATAACAAAAACACCCCCGCCACCCGCAGTGCCAGATTCCGGCCACCACCGCCGGAATCTGGCTGGAAAGTTGCGTTACGACACAGACCCGTCGGATCTATGTCGTAACACGTCGATCTAGCCTTTTCCGGCCAGATCCGTGGCTGATCTGGCCGGAAAAGGCCAGATCTACGGCTAGATCTGGCCGTCGACGCCGCCAAACTCCATCTGCGGAATCGACGGCCAGATCTGGTAGTAGATCTGGCCTTTTCCGGCTAGATCAGCCACGGATCTGGTCAGAAAAGGCCAGATCGGCACGCTACGACACAGATCTGACGGATCTGTGTCGTAATGCAGTTTTTCGGCTAGATTCCGGCGATGGTGGCCGGAATCTGGCACTAGGGTGGTGGGGGTGTTTTTGTCATTTAACAAACTTTTTATATATGGGGGTGTTTAATTAAATTAGCAAACCTAGGAGGTTTTTTAGAAATTTTTAAATTTATAAAAAACTAAAATTGAAACTTTGAAGGGTATTTTAGTCTTTTCACTATTAATAAACAAAAATCACTAACATAACATGACGGAAGGTATTTATTTGTCGTTTCAAAACCTTTTGGGTACTAACTTGTCGTTACGATAAACCTTGGGTATGCACAAGTCGTTCAACCTTTATCTTATCTTGAAAAAGGCTGTAACATTACCAATGTGCCTCTAATGGTTGTGCTTGTGACATGTGACATGGACAGTTACACGATAAAAAGCTTAAAGTTAAGATGTTGGGCCTGCTTTCTTGTGCTTGCGATGTAGAAACTTGACATGATAAAAGCACAAGTTAGGAGGATATGCGGCCTGATGTTTGGTCCTTCTTGTTCTTGCTTTCCTTTCTAATATAATTAATGAATTTTCCTTGTAATTAGTTTTAAACTAACACTCTTCTGTTTATAAAATAATGCTATGTTCTAACTTTGAAGCTTAACTTATATTATGTTGAATGATGTGGGCAAACCTACAGGCCATCCTGATTCATACAGTAATGTTTGCACACGGTTCAGCTTTGGCATAAAATTTAGCCGAACTAAAGGCATCAACATCAAGGTGATGATATCAATTGGAGGAAGATGGAGGAGTTACTCTAGCAAGAAAAACTCATTGTCAAATATGAGGTTCAAATTACGAATCTAAGATCGTCCTAGGGAGATTTGGGGATGAGATTTGTCTCTATTGTACAGATCATAATAGGTTATAGTTTTTTCATAGATAGCGATAATCAAAATTAAATTTTATTACTTCAAATATTTGTATGCCAAAAGAACTTCTTGAAGCACAGTTTTCATACGGCCCAATTTGAGACAATTTCTTCCATCGACGGCCATATTTAGAAATTACTCCACCTAATAGAAGTAGACAAAACTTTTAATTAGATGAACTCCTCTTCATTTAGCATGAAGAAGATCAAGCAAGATGGCTTCTGAAATCAAAATACCACCAAATCATTCAATCTTGTCGACCAGACTTAGCTGACTAGTTTCACTGCATTTCTCATGACTGCAGCTTCAGAAAGATCACCATTTTCAAAAAGAAGGAGACCTTAGAAGAGGCTACCTCAAATTCAGACAATGGGCTGATGGAGTAACTTAGATAAGAACCTGGAAGTTGAAACGGAATCTAGCTAATAGCTACCGTTGTAGACACAGCAATTTAAGTCTGCAAATAAATCTCGCCATGAAACTTGGGGCATCATCTGGATATTATTTGAACATGGATAGTTCAGGTTCAATTCTACAAGAAGTGTTCTTTCAAAGCAAACCTGTAGAAGTGTATCACAATGTATATGACCCAGTAAAACTTCTGTAGTTCTCTCCCAAATTTTTCTTGGAAAATCTACACATTCAGATTAAGTCACCCCTGCTTTAAGAGAAGACAAAGTATTTGGTCTCCCTTGTTGAGTCTTCAAACAAAAAGATTAATGACACCTCTATGTTAACAGTGGAATCTATGACTTAAATGGCAATTAGCTTCTCTGGTTTTCCCTGGCAAACTCTCCCATGGCAATTATAACAATCAATAATATAATCTTTCAACCAAATTGTTAAGAAAATTTCCTAATAAAATAGTAAGAAAAATACATACTCTGCAAGTTGGCAGGATAATATATTTCTTCTCATAGATTAATGATAATCCCTACAAAAGGAAAATCTGCAGAAGTAGCACATACATCTGCAGTACTTATGAGGTTTATAATAAAGTAAAAACATAAAAAATTAAACAAAAAACGAAAGGAAAAAACCCAATTGATATGAAATATAATATCCATTTAGAAATCAAAAGCTCGAAAGAAATACTAATTTATCTTCCTAAATAGGCCGTCGAGGAAGAAGCCAAAACCAAGGACAATAAAAAAAATAAAATTCATGACTGGCCTTCATAAAAAAATTCAGCCATGAGTATTAACAGCTTCCCAAAGCAAATTTTTGGGGACAGGATTGGAGAGGTCTCGAGCCTGGAGGGCAGCAGTCCTGAGAGTCCTAATGGTCCATACATTAGCCTCCCAGAAGGACAAACTCCTGTAAGGCAAATTGTGCTTCTTGCAAAGATCCTTCACCACTGGTGAAACCTTCCTCAGCTGGCACCTTGGCAACCTTGGAAACAAATGATGTTCAAGCTGAAACTGCAAACCACCATGGAACCAATCCATCCAAGACGAGCACGCGATATCCAATGTCCCACTTGTTTGCTTCTCAAACCAGTCATTGCCAGTAGGAGGCCCAAGATACACATTCGCAGCAAAATGGTTCAAACAAAATTGAACATGTTGGATGGATGTAACAGCAAAACTGGCAAGAACAAACATCACCCTCTCTGGCCAATTTGGTAGACATGAAACAAGAAGAGGGAACCAAGTCCAAAAGACAAGAGTTCCCAGTATGTTCAAGCCTCTATCAGGGATCTGACGCTTTGAAAGCAATAATAAAATTGTCTGTAAATACAAATTAACCCTTGCAACACACATCACCGGGTAAAAAGTCCAATGCTGGTAACTAACAAGAAACCTAGCAATGGGATCAAACATCAATTTTCGGCCATAAAAGCAAGATGTGATTGAATTAAACAAACGTGAAGATACAGCAAAAACTGGTATATGTTGAAGATCGGGGTCATAATCAAGACTGTTGCAGGCAATATGGTGAGCGTTATGGGTCCACTTCCACCAAGCAATACTAATCCCAGTTAAACAATTTCCAGCAATAAGTTGAGCGATTTTGTTATAAACCGGAGTTGTCATAACCTGGTAGTGCCCAGAATCATGTCCCACATAAGCACTTTGAATCCAAAGAAATCCCAACAACATAGCAGAACCCAGATGAGCCAAGACACTTTCACAACACAATACGCCATAAAGAACAACAGCAAACATAATGGCAACAGATGTAAGAGCATACAGTGCCACATGATTTTTCTTTTCAAACATACCCTGTTTAGCAAGCT